ATGCAACACTGTATTAGACAGGTATATGCAGAATTCATCCTGTTGCCAGCAGAAGTGAAGTCAGACTTAGTTATTTTAGATTCTTTGCACATTGCATCCGGGTTAATCGGCATCCTCTGGCCATAGCTAGTAACAGAGACATTAGTTCACGGGGGAGCAATGGCAGCAGTTGATGGAAGTGTATACACACAGAAACAAATAGTGCGGCTGAACAGATGAAGTGCTACAGCAGACTCTCCGAATGTATATTCGACCAGATACAGATCTATAGGGATCAGCACTTGCCAAAGGTTGACAGCAGATACAATAACACGGTGCATTTGTCAACAGGTAGAACACCTAAAGAACTACATAAGGAGTGGAAGACGCGCAGGCCTATTGATTGTCTGAATCCAGATCATATAAAAAGACTGCCGCCTGGAATCCGAGAATTCATGCTGAAATGCGCAAGAGACCTTCAGAAAGTTGGTAAGGACATCAGCCATGCTCAGCAGAAGATGACAGAACAGCACACAAGCTCAGACACCTGTCACAGCCCGCTGGTTGCAGCCAAAACTGGGTAATGTCCAAGGAGTTTATGCACGAGGAAGGGATCTCACAAAGGTCGCTACCTGCTTATAGATGTAGTAGGAGATGCTGACAATCCATCCTATGTAATTGACATACCTCGACATTGCAGAACTTACCCTGTCTTTCATGCCTCCAAGCTAGTGCCTTGGGTAACAGACTCGTCATTTCTCTCTCACAGACCTATGGTTATGCCTACTATGTATGAGAGATATGACGTAGATCCAACAGTTGACGAGGATACCAACAGATCAGGGAGAGGAGGCAGACCCCAGAGGCAGTACAAAATCCGATTTTGGTAGCAGGAACCGGAGGATAATCGACGGTGCACAAAGTCAGAGCTAAGCAAGACAGCCCCGACAGTAGCCTCACACTATGAAGAAGCTCAAAGGGGGATCCACATTCCACATTGATGAAAAACTCTCTAGCTTTCTCAGAGGAACTCAAATTTCAGAGAGAGAGGTATCAAAGAGAGAGGAAGACATTCAAATGAGGTCCTAGGCCACAGAGAGAGTGCAGGAATGTGCAGGAAAACTGCGGCCACACAGTCATAGCAACTTTCAAGCTCACAGCAAAATCAGAATGAAAGTATCCTTCTTCCCACGAGAGCTTTTAAACAAGAGATATAAAATCACGAGCACGAATAAAACTCCCCTTAACTCCCTCTCCCATCCCCTCTCCTTCCCTTTCATCCTGTTCCACCATGGCCCTGCCATCACCAATACTCCTCCCCTGAGCTCGTAGTATCCTCGACCAGTTTCGTCCGACTACGTTCGGACTCTTCAGGAGGTAGGATCGAAATCCCTCAGCTCACGGCAGCGTTGGCCCTGCGGTCGTACTTGTACCCTGGCCCGTCCCCACACTAGTCCCCTCTCTCTCCCGACTACCGGATTGACAGAATTCAAGGAGATTTAAATTTTCAAAATAGGGATTTCAAGAAGTCCCCTGGTCTAGCCGCCAGGTTTCAAACCGCAGTCGTACCMCCCAGTTTTCTGATAAGTCACAAGGTCGCTGCCTCGAATCCATCCTSTTTGACCCAGTCTCTGGGCCGATTCCTCGTGACAAACCCCGCTTTATCCCATTGCCAGCATTTTCCAATTCACTATCCCTGTCCCTAACTCCCTTGGTACCCCTTATCCATTACSACCTACCCGTACCCTCCGACCTCGTACCCCGGACCCCTGGTACCCGTTACACCCCGTCTCCTCTGCGGGAACCCCTTGCTCAACATCTGCAGTAGACAGCGCAGATTCGGATCACTCGTAGCCTCGACCAATTTGGCCACGACACCTAGAGAGACGTCCGGGGCATAGCCCCGGAGGTATGCCTCCCACAGCGTATAGGCTATCGAGCCAATGACCAAGACCTGGCATGAAGTCGAGCTCCACGATCTCCTCAGGGTGGCTGCCAGCGTAGACTTCTTCAACTTTTTCTCCGAGTACGATGCATAGTCCTGCATCGTCTGATACCTGACACTGGCAGTCTCCCGTAGTGTCACCAGATTCTTCGTCCCCGGGACGAACATCAGTCTCACTGGCTGTTGCAGCAGGTAAAACGATCCGCCCAGAAAATGCCACCAGTCCTTCCCTCCGTCCTTTCTGACCAGAGTTAGGTTTTCATCATAGCTGGTCTCTAGTTTCCCGAAAACCTCATCATTCGAACTCCTCTCTCCCGCCTGCCCTCCCACCACCACCGTGATGTCATCTACGATCCTCCATCCACCGACCAACTTCCGATCCGAGCCCAGCCCCTTCAGCATATTGAACTCTGCCATCGCACAAGTAATCGTGGCCAGGATCGGGCTAGTACATTTCCCCATGGGGATTCCGGATATCTGTCTCCTCATCACCTGCCAGCAGTTGACATACGCATTGTTGAGATCGTACTCAACCATCGCAAAAATACTCTCGAAGCGGATGCCCACATAGCCATCCGTCGCCCTGCAGGTCTTGCTCAGCGTACACGTTCTTCCTCTCCTGGACACCTTAACCTGCCTCCAACCTCTGTTAGCATACCATACTAGTATCTGCCAGACTGACCGCCAAACCGCATCATGCGGTATCTTCGTAAACATGTCTTTTATGTCGTAACAACTTCCCTCCACCCCCGTACATCCGATCTCGGTCAATCTCTTCTGCACCGCCTCCAGTTTTGCAGGTAGCTCCTGAATTGAATTGAGGTAAAAAGTCTGCTCCTTCGGGAACAGCTTCATAAGGTAGTGCAGTGCCCTGGCCACCTTTCGCTGCGCCGTTCCCGCCGGGTCGCCCGTGGCTGGAGCTATCGGTCTCCATCTGCCGAGATCCTTATCCTTGGGAATGACATACGCCCGTCCAATTCGCCCGTCCGTCTTCCACGCAGCGATCTTATGCAGGCTGGCTTGCTCAAAATCGTTCCTCGATCTCAGCAGGATGTCCTGCTCCTTTTCCCGTGCATCTTCGTAGTCACAGTTCCACACGAAGGTCTTCCCAAAGGCGTGCCGATAAATAACAGGGCAGATAACTGCCGTATCGCCCTGATTGCGGTCCACCGGGGCGAGTACCAGCCCCTCGAATCTCTTACACCACTTCAACACCTGCTCCTCATCCCACGTGCCCTGCCCACGTGCCCCCGTCACTTCCTTGCTCATGAAACCGCCGGCTGGTATGTCGACATCCTCCATTTTCCCTCCCAGGTGACTCGTCCCCTCGATGATAGCTTGCACGATCGCCTGAGTGGCGCCACCCTTCGAACTGCATGTCACATTTCTGCTGTTCTTCATAAAAACCGGTACCTCCTTCAAATCAGAGAACCGTGTGAGCACGTGTCCATCTGTGGTAGGAAGACCGGCTGCTCTGCATGTGCAAAGCTGTTTCCCGACGTGTGCATGTTTTCGATGATTATGCATGATCTCTCCTACCGTCCTGTTTCGTTTCCAGGTCACCCGTACCCTTCCTTTAATCTGATTAGCGACAGCTGCATCCTTCACCTTTCTTCCCACCACACCCTCTGTCGCTTGTCTTATCTCCCTCTTCACCAACTGTTTATCGTACGTGACCTTCACTTGTACCCTCTTCCGTATGCCTACCCCAGTCCTCTTCTTCACGGCCCTGTCGATCTTCAGTCTCAAATCATTCTTGGTCTTCTTCTCTTTGAAGAAGCCTGCTGCCCGGTACATTCCCACCAGTTGGTTGGTGGTATAGCTCACCATCTTTTTGAATAATATCAGTTTCTTGAGCATCCACCTCAGTTCTTGCATGTACATAGCCGTTGTTGTCGTTGTCTTAGTGATCCCGATGAACACCACCGTCGGTCCTTGCTGTAGTTCCCCCTTGATCGTAGAAATTTTCTTCACCCTCCCATTAATCCTCACTTTCGTCATCCCGAAAAGCCTCTTAATCTCCCTCCACCCGTCCGACCAGATCTCTCCCCCGTGGAACTGCACCCTCCTCTCGCCCTTCGTGTTCTTTATCCATTCTCCTTCCAACCAGGTCTTCAGCGATACCCTCTGTTCGTACGCTCTTCCATGCGTGAAACTCACGACGCCCTTCACCTTCTCACGTTGTCCCGTTTTCAACCTCTTCCTCTGCCTCTTACCTTTCCTCCTGTTCCGGGTCTTACCCGTCCCTCGATCGCTAGTGTTGCACGTGTTCAGTGAAGGTGGAAAATCCTGTATGAGGTGTCTCTCGAAGGCCCGATCATCCTCTTCATTCGCGTGTCTGACCGGGATAATCACGAAATTGCCCGGACCGTAATGGCGCATCCATCGGTACAGTTTCGGTGAACTCCCGATGACCTTGGTGTCAACGTTGCTCAGATGCTCACGCCATCTCTTCATGGTGCTCCGGATTGTACTACCCACGCAAACCTTTTTAGACCATGGCGACGCCACGATGTAAACACCGGCTTCCTTTAGATCCAACATGCTCGCGGTGATCTCTGATCGTACCAGATACTTAGTTAACCAGTGTATCTGCCCCTTAACGCCAAAAGAACAGTAGTCGTGATTACACGCTCGATTGCCGCTAGTTGCTCACTGCTCCGCCCCTGCCCCCAAAGGGATGACCGCAACCGCATATGGCTTTTCAGAGTTTCCCATAGCGTTACGGTCGTAGGGGGCGCAGGTGGTCAGTCTGACTCATGCGCTTTCTACTTCTTCGCTGATCTCAAAGTGAGTCTCGCCGGTGCTGACTGAACCGACGACCTCGTTCCTCTCTTTTCAGGTCCCGCCATATCCTCCCCCAGATTCACTTCCGCTCCCTCCTCCTCCCCTGGCTCCGTCTCCACCTCCGCAAAACCCTCGTATGCAAGTTTCACTTGCTCCCTAGCTAGGACATCAATGATCTCAAGTTTCCTCGTATATCTGATGCCCTTCTTCTGACACACCTTTCGTAGCATAGATGCCTTCTTGGCGGATAAGATCTTTTGTGTTGATAGACACTAGTCAATAATGCCCTCCCTGGAACATTTTGCCGCCGGACCCTTGTAGTCGTTCTCCATTGGTGTCCTTGGTTCATCTGCCCGCATCTCACCGTCGCCCCTCGGTATGTTGAACCTTATTCCTCCCATCCTCGGTGAGCCCCGGCATTGATTGATCTCATCCCATGGTTCCCCGAAACCGCACCCAATGTCGTTTGTATTCCTCAAAACGTCTTCCATATCCTCTCGATTATGACTGGTTCGTGCCTTCCCTCTCGAACATTCTCCCCGTTCCGTCGTGGACTGAATCTTGTCAGGTGTCTTGAAAGGTGTCTTCTCATTCGCCAGATTTTCTTGTTTCTTCGGTCTTCCCCTCTTCCCCGACTTCCTCGTTCTTTTCTCCATCTTCAAACGTTCGATAGTTCTCCTCAGCTCTTCATCCGAGTCAGTGGTGTCGCCGTCCGATTCTGAATCCTCCGAGGTCTCTTCTTCCGATTCATACTCCCCGACTCTCTTCTTACTCGAGCTCGCCGGTGTATCCCGTGCCCTGCGCGCACTCATCCTCACCTTCTCGATTCTAGCCTTCTCAAAATTTGCCCGTGCCTCCTCCGCCTTGGCATGCGCTTCTTCCGCCCTGGCTCTCACCTCCTCCGCTTTTGCCTTCGCCACTGTGGCGGCTTCCACCGCTTGCTTTGTCTGCTGCCGCCACTTCTGCTAAAGTCCCGCCTCTAGTTGAAGCCTGATTTCTTTCGTACGTCGGACCATATCCTGTTCACGTCTTCTCTCGTTTTCCTCGTGCAGTATCCTCTGTTCTTCTGCCCTTCTCTTTTCCTCCGCTTCACGCCTCTCCTGCATCATCACCCTATGCTGCTGTCGTATCTCTTCCATCTCGCTGTCATCCTGCCGTCCCCGCTTCATCCAACACTCGCGGGAATAATGACCCGGCTTGCCACATGTATAACACGTCGGGGGCTGCCTGCCCCCCATTCCGCCATTACCGCCTGAGGCGCCTCCCACGTATCCACCCGTGTTACCACCTATGTTTCCGCCTGTGTCCCCGTTGTATCCGTTATTGCCTGTGTACCCGCCGTATCCATTATCGCCACCGCCCGCGTTCCCGTAAACTCCCATTCCCCCTCGCTGATTTTGTCCACCCCCGTACATCCTTACGACTAACCCACTCCTAGTCTCTGTATCTTCAGCGTTCACTTACCTCGTCAGATCTCTCGCTAACCCAGGTACTTCAAAACCCAGTGTAGACATAGCCACCGTAGAGTTCTCAGTGCTCCCGGTTACCATGCGCCCTGGAGTGCAGGAAAACTGCGGCCACACAGTCATAGCAACTTTCAAGCTCACAGCAAAATCAGAATGAAAGTATCCTTCTTCCCATGAGAGCTTTTAAACAAGAGATATAAAATCACGAGCACGAATAAAACTCCCCTTAACTCCCTCTCCCATCCCCTCTCCTTCCCTTTCATCCTGTTC